GACAATGGAGGAGGATGCATCTATAGTCAGCAAAGGGATGCCAACGATTGTCGGCAGTCACTAGAAACTAGGAGCAGATTCTCCCTCAGAGCCCCTCGAAGAAATCAGCCAGGCTGACACCCTGAGTCCAGACTCCTAGCCTCCAGAACTATGAGCCAGTAAAGTTCTGCTCTTTAAAACCACCTCTTTCATGGTATTTTGTTGTGGCAGCCCCGGGAAACGAAGACAAGGCTCCTGAAAGCTTCTGCATTTTCGGGGCTTTTTAAGGTGACAGGGAGAACAACGTTGCTCCGTAACATACAAAGGGGTGCGGGTGGTGAGAAACAAAACAAAGCATCTGAAGTCTTGACTGTGAAAGTTTGGAGCCTGGAGAGGAACCCTCCATTCACGGGCCAGAAAAAACAAATTACTACTTTAGTTATGGTTTACACCTGACACATGCTTACCTAAGCCCCCCAGCTCCCCTGCCATCTATGGGAACACCACCATCAGTTCCCCTCCTCACCCCTAAGAAACCACAGCTCTGGGAAGAGCGCCTAGGAGGAATCATGGTTTCAGTCCTGGCTGCCCACGGAGTCCTCCAGGCCTGTCCCTCCTCCCATGGCCCTTATCCTAGCCAATGCAGCTATCACTCACCCAACTCCTCAGGCCGGAGAACCTGGACAAAGTCTGCCAAGACACCTGCCTCCCTCTCCCCCTTCACATCCAATTGGTCACTGGTTTTCTATTTCATAAATCTGTAATCTGTTCATTCATTCATTAAAAAATATTTATCAGGGTGGGAGGGAGGGGGAAAGGAAGACACAACTCTTAGGGGACACTGAGCTTCTGTTAAAGGTGATGGAAAAATTCAGGAAGGGTGACGGCTGAACAAAATGATGAAGATACTTAATGTCACTGAGCTGTACATGTGGAGATTGTTGAAATGGCAAATGTTTTGTCACCTATATATTTACCATGATAAAGAAAAAAAGTGTAACATCATCACAAAAAAGTAACTTACTGTGTGCCACGACTATACAATGATGAACTTGCAAACAACCAATTTTACTATAGAGTAAGCAGTAAATGCAAGACACAAGAACGCAGAGTTCTGGGAGAGGAGGGATATCTGACCGTCTGGGGAAGCCTGAGGGTTTTCTCTTGCTAAAGTGTACCAGGAACCCGGTGGAGGGGGACCGGAGAGGGTGAGGCCAGTGCGGATTTCTGGAGGCAAGAAAAGCGCAGGGAGTGTGGAGAACTGACAGTTCATCAGCGTGATTGGCTTGGACCTTAAAATAGCTGGTTTACCATCTTAATCCAGTTAAATACACTGTCCAAAGATTTTCTATTCCTCAGAAAACCAAGCAAACAAAAGCACCGTCCAATATGCTCCTGGAGATTTGTCCTTCAAGGAGCATTTTCCATCACTTGTCATTCGTTCGCGAGATAGTTACTGGGCACCTGCTATGTGCAGGTACGGTGCTAGTCCCAGCCACCCACAGTGCTTTCGGCCTTGCGGGAGTTTCCGATCTATTGCAGAAGACAGACCTTGAGTGAGCAATTCCGGGAGGCTGGGGATGTGAGGCCAGGCTGCCACCTGGTTGTCCTCTCCCCAGACATGCTCCAGCGCTCTCTGCCCTGCCCAGAGCACCCTTGTCCCCTAGCCCAACGCTCCTGCCCGTTTACACCCAACTCCAGCACACCTCCTCCCTGCAAGGCCACACCCGGTGGCGCGCAGCTCAGCTGAGGCGCGCGCCGCTGCGTGGCCCTTCTCTCGGCTCGCAGAGGGCTCCTGGAGGGCAGACGCCGTCCACTCCAGACAGCTTCCGCTAAGGGACGCCTGTTCCCAAAGGCGCCCAGGCTGGAGATGGTGCCCCCGTGCCGAGAGCGTGTCCCTCGGCTGAGCGTGCGCCCCGCGAGCCGGAGAGAGCAAGCCCCCCGGCTGAGCGTGCGCTCCGCTGGCCGGAAGGAGCGCACCCTTTAGCTGGAAGGCGAGCCTCTCGAGCGAGAGGGCGACCCTCAGGCCTGAAAGAGCGCGCCGGCGGATGCCCGCTCGCGCACGTGGGCGCAGCCTGGAGGCCAAGGGGACCCCTGCTCCGCAGCCCCGCGTCCGCCTACTTTCCCTGGCGTGGGAGGAGGGAACGACCAGCGGGAAGCCCTTGTCCAGGAGCACGCTCCCCGCTGCGGCCCGCCCTGAGCCCGGGGGACACCGCGGGTGCCCCCCGCTGCAGCCCGTCCTGACCCCAGGGGACACTGTCGCCCCACGCTGCAGCCCGTCCTGACTTGCGTGGACACTGCGGGCGCGCGCTCCGGCCG